GGCCTCGCTGGGGACAGGACGGGGAGGGGAGGGCGGCTCGTACCCCCGGGGCCCAGTCACAGTGGCCTCGCTAGGGACAGGGCAAAGCGGGCCTGAGGGACCCCGAGAGTCCCAGCAGTCTCACCCGCTCCGGGGTGCAGGCGCAGCCCTCCAAGAAGGGCCAGTTCTTGAATGTAGAGATGCGGTGGTCCTTGAGAAAGGGCTGCCAGGCAGGGGGCAACGTCGGGGCACCCATGCCGCCGCCGCCGCCGCCACCAAACGGTCCGGCGACTCAAATCCGGCGGTTAATGGCGCGCCGCGGGGCATGTCGGGAGCGCACGCCTTCTTAGGCGGTCTGCCGCGCGGCCGTCTGGGAGTAGAGGCGGGGCGGCGCGGGGCGTGCCGGGAGTTGTAGTCCGCCCGCCGTGTTGCTCAGTCCCGGTCTGTGCACCCGGCGACCCCGCGCCGGCTCGCCCCTGCCCACACCTAGCGCCTCCTCGACTTCTTTCAAAGAGCGCGTGCAGGTCGGGCGCAGTGGCTTACGTCTGTAATCCCAACACTTTGGGAGGCCGAGGCGGGAGGATCACCTGAGGCCAGGAGTTCGAGACCAGCCTGGCCATCAAGGCGAAACCTTGTCTTTACTAAAAATACAAAAATTAGTGGGGCGTGGTGGCGCACGCTTCTACTCCCAGTTACTACTGGAGAAGCGCTTGAACCCAGAGATTGCAGTGAGCTGAGATCGCGCCACTGCTCTCCCGCCTGGGCGACAGAATGAGACTGTTTCCAAAAAATGAAATAAATAAATAAATAAGACTGTCTCAAAATAAAGAAAGAAAAATAAAAAACAAAGAGTGCGTGCAAAAAAACAGCTGAGGACGGATTGAAGTGCCCGTAGGGGGCTCAAGGAGCAGCCAGCCCCTGTCCAGCACACTCGTGCTAAGCCCTTAGCCTGCAAACTCCTTGTTCGTTTTTGGTTTCTTGTGTTCCCCACTCTTGAAACCGCTTCGAGCCAGCTTCCCCTCTCCCTGTACCTGCCCTGTTAGAAATGCTTGCAGATGGGCATCACCCCGAGGTCCTGCACCCGCTGGGGAAAAGACGTCAGGTTAAATGAATCCACAGTTAATTCCACTGTCTTGTGAGCTATTAACTGGTCCCCGACCCCCACCCCCTTTTTCTTGAGACAGTGTCTTGCTCTATTGCCCAGGCTAGAGTGCAGTCGTGTGATTATGGCTCACTGCAGCCTCAAATTCCTGGGCTCAAGCGATCCTCCCACCTCAGCCTCCCAAGTAGGTGGGACCACAGGCACACACCATCACGCTTGGCTTTTTTTTTTTTTTTTTTGGGACGGAATTTCGCTCTTGTTACCCAGGCTGGAGTGCAATGGCGCGATCTCGGCTCACCGCAACCTCCGCCTCCTGAGTTCAGGCAATTCTCCTGCCTCAGCCTCCTGAGTAGCTGGGATTACAGGCACGCACCACCATGCCCAGCTAATTTTTTGTAGTTTTAGTAGAGACGGGGTTTCACCATGTTGACCAGGATGGTCTCGATCTCTTGACCTCGTGATCCACCTGCCTCGGCCTCCCACAGTGCTGGGATTACAGGCGTGAGCCACCGCGCCCGGCACGCTTGGCTTTTGTTTGTTTTGTTTTGTTTTGTTGTAGAAACAGGGGCTGGCTATGTTGCCCAGACTTTCCCTTAAGATTAATCAAAAAATATTATTTCTTATATTGATACCATTCACATCAGTTACACATATAATACTAACAAGATGCACATTATGAAGTTCGTGGACATTCTAATGGGCAGTAAAACCTCAACATTTAGGGCTGGGTTTATGGCTGCCACTCTCTAAGGCCAGCACTGCCTCTGGCTCCCAAGCTCCCGCAGAAGGAGAAGGGTGGGTAAGGCAGTCTCTATACCACGGCTGGCGCAAAGCCCACGGTTCCACAAATGTGCCTGTGACAAAGCACCCAGGAAGCAATGTTTGCCACTGTCAAGTGTGTGCCTTCTGCCCCAGGGTGAAGAAACCCCATCCTCATGAGTGGGTACTGGGCCCATGACCTCAGACATTCTCAGAAGTCTACTGGTGGCGCATGCCTGTAATCCCAGCACTTTGGGAGGCCAAGGTGGGCAGATCGCTTGAACTCAGAAGTTCGAGACCAGCTTGGGCAACATAGTGAGACCCCCATCTCTACAAAAAACACACACACAAAAAAAAATTAGCGGCGCATGGTGGTGCTCACCTGTGGTTCCAGCTTCTCTGAAGGCTGAGGTGGGAGGATCGCTTTAGCCGTGGAGGGGGACTGCAGCGAGCCGAGATCACACCACCACACTCCAGCCTGGGCAACACAGTAAGACACTGTCTCAAAAAAGAAAAAAATTTGAAGTAAAGAAAAAACAAACATAAACCAAAAATAACGCCACTGAAATTGCTGAGGTCTTCACAACACATCTGGGCTTCCAGGACCCAGCTCCTGCCGCTTTGCAGGAGGCAAGTGAGGCCCGCCTGGTTGGCCTTCTTGAAGACACCAGACTGGGTGCTATCCATGCCAAATGCATGACGGTTATGCCAAAACACATCCAGTAGCCACATTCATGGAGAACATGCTGAAGCATCTGCTATGAAGGGCAACATTTCATTCTCAAAAAATATATATATTCTTCTTGTTACTGGCAGTTCTGATGGTTAGATATTTTTCCCTGGGGTCAAAAGACACCTAAATATAAGATTGAGAGTGGAAAAACAGAGAACAGAAATCAGGTTATTGGCCAGGTACAGTGGTGCACACCTGAAATCCCAGCACTTTGGGAGGTCAAGGCAGGCAGATTGCTTGAGCCCAGGAGTTCAAGACCAGCCTGGGCAACATGGTGAAACCCTGTCTCTACAAAAAAATGTGAAAATTAGCCAGGCATGGTGTTGCATGCCCGTGGTCCCAGCTACTAGGAGGCTGAGGCAGGAGGATTGCTTGAGCCTGGGAGGCAGAGGTGGCAGTGAGCTGAGATGGCACCATGCACTCCAGTCTGGACAACAGAGTGAGAGCCGGTCTTGATAAGGAGGAAAAGAAAGAAAAGAAAGAAAAGAAAAGAAAAGAAAAAAAGGAAGGAAGGAAGGAAGGAAGGAAGGGAACCACCGCGCCTGCCTTTTTTTTTTTTTTTTTTGAGACGGAGTTTCGTTCTTGTTGCCCCAGGCTGGAGTGCAATCACAGGGTCTCCGTTCACTGCAACCTCTGCCTCCCAGGTTCAAGTGATTCTCCTGCCTCAGTCTCCCAAGTAGCTGGGATTACAGGCGTGAATCACATGTCCGGCTAATTTTGTATTTTTAGTAGAGACAGAGTTTTACCATGCTGGTCAGGTTGGTCTCGAATTCCTGACCTCGGGTGATCCAGCCGCCTCAGCCTCCCAAAGTGCTGGTATTACAGGCCTCAGCCACTGCGCCCAGCCCAGATTTTGTAACACATATTTAATTTATAGGTCAGCTTTTGGCAATATCAATCATTATTTATCAATAATATCTTCTGCTATTTTGAGCCTTCTACATTATCTCTACCAAGTTCTGATTGTCTGGGAGTCAAACTTTTAACATCTAAATTTAGTAGCTAAAAAAGCCTTGAGGCTCATATCAGTTTTTGCAAAGACATTTACTATGTAAATTTTTAGCTGTTATCAAATACATTTTGTTTTGTTCATTTCTACCAGGAACAATCGTTATGAATTAGATGAGGGATTAGTAGCTTGAATGTATTTCTCAGCTTAATTCACAAAATTGTGAGCAGTTTTGTGAAGCAAGGTTGAGAGGGAAAATGAGGGCAAGAACAACACAAAGAGGGACCCGAACAGGACGAGAGGGAGGTGTGAGGTTGAACTGGTTCTATTGGTTGCTGAATTTTCAGAGTCAAAGGTATCCCTGGTCACCATGAAAAGGTCAAGTCCACACCTGAGAGTTCTTCAAAATGTTGTAATCGCTGCCAGTCTGAGAGTACAAAACAACCTGTGTTTAACCTATTTCTCTTTATTTAAAAGGGAGGCTGGTCACCTCAAGTTCATCGGTCACTTAATTTCTGTGAATTGCCTGTTCCTGGGCAATTGCCGTCCCTTGCCTCCTTTTCTGTTGGATTACTAATGGTTTTCCTATTGCTTCGTATGACTTTTATACAGAAGGGAGTTAGCTTTACCTGTCCCCCTCATCCCTACCCTCCTGTGCTGCTTTTTTATTTGCCTTTTGACTTTGTGGTGTGGATTCTTTCCTGCAAAAGTTTTAAATCTTTTTTTTTTTTTTTTTAACGGAGTCTCATTCTGTCACCAGGCTGGAGTGCAGGGGTGCGATCTCAGCCCACCGCAACCTCCGCCTCCCGGGTTCAAGCGATTCTTCCACCTCAGCCTCCTGAGTAGTGGATTACAGGCATGCACCACCATGCCCGGCTAATTTTTGCATTTTTAGTGGAAACAGGGTTTCACCATGTTGGCCAGGCTGGTCTTGAACTCCTGATTTTGTGATCTGCCTGCCTCGGCCTCCCAACATGCTGGGATTATACACGTGAACCACCATGCCCGAACTTTTAGGGTTTTTTTTTTTTTTGAGATGGAGTCTCACTCTGTCACCCAGGCTGGAGTACAGAGGCATGATATTGGTCCACTGCAACCTCCGCCTCCCAGATTCAAGCGATTCTTCCACCTCAGCCTCCCAAGTAGCTGGGGTTATAGTCACCCACCATCATGCTCAGCTAATTTTTATATTTTTGTAGAGATAGGGTTTCAACATGTTTACCAGGCTGGTCTTGAACTCCTGACCTCAGGTGATCTGCACCCCTCAGCCTCTGAAAGTGCTGGGATTACAGGCGTGAGCCACCTTGACTCGTCAAAAGTTTTAAATCTTTATGCTGTCATATTTATCACTGTTTCTTTCTGATTTTCGTTTTCTATTTCTGGTCAGTGTCTTGTTTTTATCTTGCTTAGAAAGGCTTTGTCCATTCCAAGATGCTTTATAAAAGATACTGAGGCTGGGCACGGTGGCTCATGCCTGTAATCCCAATACCTTGAGAGGCCAAGGTGGATCACTTGAGGTCAGGAGTTCGAGACCAGCCTGGCCAACATGGTGAAACTTGTCTCTACTAAAAATACAAAAATTAGCTGAGCGTGGTGGTGGGTGCCTGTAATCCCAGCTACTCGGGAGGCTGGGGCAGGAGAATCGCCTGAACCTGGGAGGCAGAGGTTACAGTAAGCAGAGATTGTGCCACTGCACCCTAGCCTGGGCCACAGAGCGAGACTCTGTCTCAAAAAAGAAAGAAAGAGAGAGGGAGAGAGAGCAGAAAGAAAGAAAGAAAAAAGAAAGAGAAAGAGAGAGAAAGAAGAAAGAAAGAAAAAGGAAGGAAGGAA